GGATCATTGATCCACCAGGGGGTGCAGTGGGTTTCCACACTGGAGCTCATGTGAAATAAAGTCAGATACAGTACGCTGGATGTACAGCGGAACTTTGTTCAGATCCATATGTCACGGATATCATACTCTGTGCTAAATAAGAGACATGTAATGTTGACAACAGCAGAGCAGAATTATGACGTGGGAAACAAGGAACTGTTAGCTGTAAAAGCTGCCCTCGAGGAATGGAGACACTGGCTAGAGGGGGCAGAGCAGCCGTTTTTAGTCTGGACAGATCACAAAAATCTGGAATATATAAGAAAGGTTAAGCGTCTCAACTCCCGTCAGGCCAGGTGGACACTATTCTTTAGTAGGTTCAACTTCACACTCTCTTTTCGTCCCGGGTCTCAGAATCAAAACCCTGATGCTTTGTCTCGTCTTTACGATCCAGAACCACTTGCCGTAGAGCCCAAGACCATCATTCCACTTAACCGTGTGATCGGAGCCTTTTCCTGGCAGGTGGAGTCGGACGTTAAAAAGGCGAATGTCATGAATCCAGCACCTAGCGAGTGTCCCAACAATCTGCTGTTTGTTCCTGAGGCTCTTCGCTCCAAGGTCATCCACTGGGCTCACTAATCTGTGCTTTCGTGCCATCCGGGAGTAACAAGGACAATTTTCAGGATTCAATGTTTCTGGTGGCCAGCCATGAGGAAGGATGTGTCGGAGTATGTAGCGGCTTGTCCGGTGTGTGCGTGTAATAAGACCTCGTCTCAAGTCAAGATGGGCTTGCCGCAGCCGATTCCCCAACGTCCTTGGTCACACATCTCGATGGATTTTGTGACAGGATTTCCTTCATCCAGAGGCAAGACTACAGTTCTAACAGTGGTGGATCGATTTTCAAAGATGGCTCACTTCATCCCATTGACCAAGCTTCCCTCTGCCAAAGTCACCGCAGAGGTCATGATGAATCACGTATTCAGGATCCATGGATTCCCTGATGACATTGTTTCCGACAGGGGTCCACAATTCATTTCCGTTTTCTGGAAGGAGTTTTGTCGACTCATAGGTGCCACCGTCAGCTTGTCATCAGGATATCACCCTCAGTCAAATGGACAGTCGGAGCGTCTGAACCAAGAACTAGAGACTACGCTACGTTGTCTCGTCTCCCGGAAACAGACCACCTGGAGTGACCACCTCACATGGGTCGAGTTTGCCCACAATACTCTTCCTACGGCAGCCACAGGTCTCTCTCCATTCCATTGTGTCAATGGTTTCCAGCCTCCGCTTTTCCCTAACAACGAGAAAGAGGTGATGGTTCCATCGGCTCATGCCATGATCAGACGTTGTCGCTGAGTTTGGGCTGGTGCTCGTCAGTCTCTTCTCCGAAGTTCAGCTCGGATGAAGGCTGTTGCAGACGTCCATCGCAGGGTCGCTCTCTCCTACAGACCAGGCCAAAAGGTTTGGCTTTCCACTAAGGACTTACCACTCCATGTCGCCTCAAAGAAACTGGCTCCGAGATTTGTGGGTCCTTTCCCGGTGTCCAGAGTCATCAACCCGGTCTCTGTACGCTTGCAACTCCCCAGGACTATGAGAGTGCATCCGACGTTTCACGTCAGTAAGATCAAGCCAGTGTGTGAGAGCACACTTGTTCCCTCCTCCAAGCCCCCTCCACCGCCCCAGTTCTTTGAAGGGGGTGAGGTTTACAAGGTCTGTAAGCTCCTGGAGGTCCGTAATAGGGGGAGGGGGAAGCAATTCCTGGTAGACTGGGAGGGTTACGGTCCTGAGGCTAGAAGCTTGGTAGCTGCTTCATTTATCGTGGACAAGACTCTTATCCACGATTTGTACAATCAGCCTGGGCCATCAGGAGTCGGCCCTAGAGGGGGGGGGGGGGGTACTGTTGTGCACCGACAGAAATGCTAGAGAGGTTCATTTTTATGTTTGTTTTGTCACTCACCATTTACCTCTCATTCCAGGCTTCTGATTGTCCACCCCTTGTGTGTCTCCTGTGCTCATCAGCGTCAGCCCCGCCCCTGATTGTTCCCACCTGTGTCTTATTATCATGTGCTTAAATTCCCCTATCTCCCAGTGTTCAGTGTCAGTTCGTATTGTCTCTTGCTATGGTCAGGTCTATGCTCCTTGTGCTCTTGAAAAAGTTTGATTCCTCACTACGTGAGCGCTTTCAGATTTTGTTCTCTATTTGTCATCTCGGTTATAGATTTGATAGTTACCTTTTTTGTTGTTCAATGCTGTATTTGAAAAATAAAGTATCTTACAAATACTTTACCTCTGTCTCCCGGGTCGTGCAATTGGGTCCTACATCCTAAGTGTCTGAGTTCGTAACAATCAGTGAGAGGAGAGCATTTTCATTGTTCTGAATGAGAGATAAACCTGTAACATGTGAACGTTTTGTTGAAGAACCGTAACAGATATCGGTGAAATTTCAAAGCGTGAACCATGTCAAGGAACTTGAGCATCTGAAGTGTACTTTTTGTGTACTTTCGGGTTAATAATGTGGCATTTTTGGCTGCTGTGGTGGGGAAAGGTGAGGCTGAACTTACAATGGGGTTTAATGGAGACATGTTGAACGTTTTTGTCACTTCATGCCCTCTAGAGTCTAGAGGCATTTTGTTTAATTATTTTGCTTAATTTTATTTTATCTTTCAAGCTACGAGATGTTTTCCTACGTTTGCCATGAGAAATTATGTCTCAGGAATGTAGGGTTTGGGAATTATGGCAGGTTTAAAAGAAAACATGAAGGCTAAATTAAATCTGTCCTCCACTCTAGCTGTGACATCAAGCACTGTAAAATCTGAAGAAGGCCTCTTTACCAAGGTCTGAACAATGTTATCTCTAAAAGTAAGAATCAGATTTAAAAGTCGTGTTACACGAATAATGTCAGAAAGATGTGTAACATTTTAAAGTTGGAATGAGGTTTCTGAGTGGAAGTATGAAGGAGCAGTTAGCAGTTGAAGTTGCATGAAGATTGTTGAAGTCTGAAGAGTTTCTCCATTGACTTCCATGTTAAAAATGTGATGTATTATGGGATGTATCTCTGGAATTATGAAAGTTATGAATGAGAAAAGTAATAGCCATCGATTCCCGACCAAGCTGAACGTTGTGATCAGTGGCGGCTGGTGGAAAATATTTTTGGTGGGGCTGTTGATATAGTGAGTAAAACATTTTTTTTTGGGAGAAATTACCCCTTAAATTAGGACTTCTGGTGATGTAATGGCGCGTTTCCACTGCAGCGGGTAGCTCGCTTTAAGCGTGCCGAGCCGTGCGGGGCCCATTTTTGGTTGCGTTTCCACTTGGCCTATACCGGCTAGCGGGTCCTAATTCACAGTTTTTCTGGCCCCATAAAATCGTGGTTCTAGGGCCAGGAACAACCAGCCTGAGTCGGGCTGAGTATGCTAAACTAGAGAGAGAATCGCTGGCAAGGGGGCTACAACTACAACAAGATGAACATATTTGACCGTGATTTAATTGTAATACACATTTCAAAATGATGCCGAAGTAACAACATACTGATACCGGTTAGTAAAAACCATGAATTAATGCTTTGACAAGTCTGCAGACAGACGGCAGGCGAAAAACCTTTTAAAATGCATGTTTTCTAAATGGAGCTTGGCTAAGCTAACGTTATATATGCTCCGACCGTCCACACTCACAACAACGGCCTATACAGACATAAATAAACCAGCGACTTTATTCTCCATGACACAGACAGTCTGTGGTTTGTACTTGTTTAACTTTTGTCTAGTTTCTGAACAGATCGTATCTGTCCCCGGCTGTTGGGCAAGCATGGGAAAACAAAAGACAGCATTTACCTGTTTGCATCCATACCAGCTACGTGAGAAGCCTCGTTGATACGTTTTGTCTTTTTCACGAGCTTGCTGCAATATATACAAATCGGGTTGGTCCGGTCCAAGGTCTTTAAGCAACAGTTTATCAAACTTCTCCTTTCGAAAGGATTGGTGATTAGCTCTCTAACGGAATTGGGCGGGGACCGAGGTCCGGAGACTCCACCTGCACATGAAGCCATCCTCATCAACTACTGCCGTACTGCATCACCCCACCGGATACGAGTCACTAGTGTCCAAACTACTCACAGACTGTACCGGGCGCTGACATTGGCGCCCGGTGATCATCAGATTTGACGACGCTGATTGGCTGAAATTATGTTTCGGCATCATAGTTTACAGATAGCAACAGTCAGCTGCTAGTGGCTGCTGCTGCACTGGTTGAGGGCTCCTTTCTTACCGCCCAGACGAGAGAGGGTAATGACCATATACTGTATATATAAAGGTAATGACACATGGGCAAGGCCAGGCAGGAAACATGTGACTTATCAGTAACTTTGGACATCGTCGTAACACAATTTTAAACAAGATTTTATTGTAGATTATACATTTTACTGATACCAATTATATAATATTTACCTTGTTTATTAAAAATAAAATAAAAAAATATTTTTTTTAATATATTTTAAATTTTTATTTTGTATGTGGGAAGAGGTGGGGCGGCGCTCCTATGGGCCGGCCGCCACTGGTTTTGATGTTTGAACAGAGTTTCTACGATGTTCAATGTGGGAGAAGAAGAGGCGCAAAACAACTCGGCGGAATAATAAAGAATTGTGTGCGTAGCATAACAGATAGTGGGAATGCTGTGTCAGCATTCCCACTAAATCAGCATGCGGCCGAAGTAAAGGGGTTAAAATCAGTCCAAACATTTCATCATAAAGGCATGTAGCAGGAAGTAAAACCACATTTCAGAATTAAAACACATAAATAAAAACTGTCATATATAAACAATTTAAAATACATTACATTGCCATGTGACAAAAACCCAAACCAGCATGGGCCTCTTTAAGTGACTCAAACCCACATATTCTTAAACCAGAATGCATAGATGTTAGAAAAAAACAGCTGGTTTGATACATGTTCTTCTCTTAGCTTACTTTTTAATCTTCCACCCTCACTTGCCTCAATCATAAATATATTGTGATATTGTGCTTCCCCTAGATATGAGTGGCTTATTCCTGTCAGGTGGATGAAGAGCGGTGAAGTCCAGACAGATATCTGGTGGCTGAAGGAAAAACACGGTGTGTAATAATATGCTAAAAACACGTAATGCTGATAACAGTCCTAATTCTGTAAATTATTGGACAGCGTACCTTATTAATGTTTTTAAATGACTATTGTATTAAAGCTATTACATGTTGACTTTTTCCCCTTTCTTCTCAGCGGTAAACTTTGAAATGACGAGAGACGGTTCGTGGCTCCTTGCCAACATCAATGTAACTGGATATTACCGGGTAAACTACGACCATGGAAACTGGGAGAGCCTCCTGGCCCAGCTGCACTCAGAGCACCAGGTACACCAGCAGTAGGTTACTCTGTCATATGCAGCTCCTTGGTTGGTCAGAGTCTTTGGTTCGTTTCCTTGTTGTTTTTCTTTACTTTTCATTGATTCGTCTTTCATATTCTGTTTTCTGTAGGTTATACCTGTGATTAACAGGGCCCAGCTTGTGGATGATGCTTTCAATTTGGCAAGGTATGTCAATTCAGCTGCTTGGAGTTTTCAAACACTGTTTAATGCTTGGTCATAAGTACTTGCATATTTTACTCAAGTAAAAATTGGTAGGAGTGAAAAGTCCTGCATTTAAAACTCACTTTAGTAAAAGTACAAAAGTATTGGCATCAACAAATACTTACTATGCATAATGTCTTATTATATAATATTATATATTAAATTACTGGAGAATAATGATTGCTGCAAAATATGTTTATCACAGCTGGTAAAGGTGGAGCTACTTCTAATGTAACTGTCAACCCAGTCTCATGGCATTTCGTGTTCACCAACACGATTTTTAATCTATTGATTCGTGTTCACCAACAGGATTTTCTCCTTTTTTTCGTGTTGCACAGCAGGATTTGAAAAGCAATGTATTTCTACTGGTAATGACGTTTTCGTTTGTGTCGGCTGCCCTTAAAGGCAATGTGAGCGTCCATTCTCATTGGATAACGGAGAATTGTACACCCGGAAGTAAGTATTCCTCTTACTGTCGATTGATTTTACAGTGATATCTGCACTACTCATCGACTAAAAAACACCAGATTATCCTTGATAATTACACAACATTGATTGGTTTAAATTGTGTGCAATGCTTTTGTATTTTTCCCCTTCGATTCGGAGAAACAAATATTTTTTCGGAATAAAGGATGGCAGAAAAACCCTACCCTAAACTACCCAGAATCCCCAGCTATCGTTTGGACTACACCATGTGCTCTGTTTGACAAACCCGTTTTTTTTCATCATTCATTCCAATGGCTGGCGTCTGTCACGTGATCTTCAAATTTCTCCCTGCAGAAAAAAAAAACATGGCCGAACTTCGTTTTATTCTCGGTGGAAAATGCCTATTTTAAAGTTAGTTTGGCCATTAAAATGCGTTTTGATGTCATTTGATGCGAGAAATATGAGTTGTTATTTCAGATTATGTGTGCAGTGGATGTACATGATCTTTAGTTTGCTAGTTATTACGAAGATTACTTCAGGAAATTGCGTCCATAGAACGTTTTCATTGTTACCAAGGTGGTTGCTAGGGACGCTGCTATCGATATTATTTCTGTTATGTTGTGTAACTTAATGGTGTTATCTTTATTGCTACCCCCTTCCCCGTCAATGTATAGTGTTGGTCCACAGCGCAAACGTATTAGTTTGACAAAATCCGCATCTAAAGATAGCCTACGTTATTTTCCCCTGTGCAATTTCAGTCTCACATCTCACATCACATCGTCATTAACAAATACCGGAAACAGACCGAAAACATTTTAAAATAATACTTTATTCCGAGTGTGCTTGCTTTTCTCTTTGGAAGTCATCACATAACGGCATTGTAATACACGGTTCGGCTGCATTAAATATTACATATCTGCCGTAGTTCTGTATTTATAGAGCCCTGATGAGAAGACTTATAGACAAACATGAGGAACTGAAAACGTGACGTGGATC